TTTAATCATGGTAACGCAGTCTTTTTTAAGTTATTAATTAAAAAAAGAATGGGTGCACTTGAAAGAATTTTTTTTTGAACATTAGGAAACAAAAAGAAGTCAGATGAGTCAAATATAAGCGTAAGGTGCACATCTTTTGGTTTCTCATCAAAGCTCACAAAACTGCCCTTGTTCATTGCAAGGAATATGCAATAACTCACTTGTATAATGGACAAGGACTCCTGAAAAAGCTTTGCTGGGTGTTTTTCTGCTAAAGCAAAATACTCTCACAGTAAGCAGATGTTATTATTCTTCAGCTTTCCAGAAAGTCAAAAAGCAAAATGACTTAAGCATCTCCAAAAATGCTTGTTAAAACCACTGCTCTTAAACAGGTTGTTTTTGTTTTGACTGGACCACTTCTACCTCTTGGTAGCCCTTGCTTTGTGCTTTGTCTTCAGGATCATACTGGTAATGTTGTGTTTTATCTCCAGTTCAATTCCTCTTGTTTTCTTAATTTATTTGAGACGCAGAGGGACAGACAGACAGAAAGCTCACATCTACAGTTTCATTCTCCCAAAAACCTTCAATGGCTGGAGCTGGGCAAAGGGCAACACCATGAGCCAGTAACTCTATCTAGGTCTCCCATGTGAGTGGCAAGAACCCAACTATTCGAGCCATCACTGCTGCCTCCTAGGGTCCTCATTAGAAGGAACCTAGAATTCAGAGCCAGAGGAGGTAACTGAAACCAGGCACCTAAACTTAGGATGTAGGTATCCTAACCACTAAACCAAACATCTGCCCCTCCATTTGTCTTTGAAGCTTCTTGTAATGCACTAAGCTCTTTAACACACACACACACACACACACACACATTTATATGCCTATTTGTACCTGTGCTACTTGCTGTCTGAGGTGTACCCAGATTAAAGTTCTATACAAGACCCAGTAACAAGGATTTGCACTAGTGAATCAAAATGAAAATGAATACCATATAAACACTGAGTGATTCACTAGCCATACTAAAGCAGTTCCCACTTTCCCTAAAGTATTTACCAATATCCTGAATAATGTCCCATGTGTCACTCGCCTACTGTTTCTTTTCTCATTTATCCTCAAGAAAAGCTCCAATTGCAGAACACCCATGAGGTTATCCTGCTGTATTTTGCAAAATTATCCATTGTTTCCACATTATTCCAATCTAAAACAAATGTCAAAGACAGTCCCCTCATTCCAAAAGGATCTGAACTACAACCTTGCCTTTGCTTATCTGAACCTGTATCTTACCTATTCTAAGCCAAGTTCTCCATATAATAGTGTCAATCCTGACAGCTTAGTATGGGACCCAAATGTTGTTACATTCCATAGTAACAAAAAATTCTGTTTCAGATGAAACTATCATAATTTTGGAGTTAGGGTTACCAAGATGCAACAATGCAAAGCAGCCTGAGCTATAAAATATAGAAATAAAATAAGATAGGGGCTGGCACCACGGTGCAGTAGATTAATCCTCTGCCTGTGGCGCAGGCATCCCATACGAGCGCTGGTTCTAGTCCCAGCTGCTCCTCTTCCAATCCAGCTCTCTGCTGTGGCCTGGGAAAGCAGTAGAAGATGGCCCAAGTGCTTGGGTCCCTGCACCCGTGTGGGAGACCAGGAAGAGGCATCTGGCTCCTGGCTTTGGATGGGCACAGCTCCGGCTGTTGCAGCCATTTGGGGAGTGAGTCAACGGACGGAAGACCTTTCTCTCTGTCTCTCCCTCTCACTATCTGTAACTCTACCTCTCAAATAAATAAAAATCTTTTTTAAAAAAAAAAGAAGTGTAAGTGCGCAGTGACTCCTGTTGTTGACTTTACCAATTGACATTCCTGTCTATGGCATCAGTAATCTCCCTATGCTCCAGTCATGAGTTTCCAAGGCTATGGAAGCCCTCTGAGTTCTCCGACTCTTATCTTGTTTAGACAAGGTCCTAGTCAAAGTGGAGGTTCTCTCCTCCCTTCAGAGAAAGGTACCTCCTTCTTTGATGACCTGTTCTTTCCACTGGGATCTCACTCACAGAGATCTTTTGCCAGAGTGTCTTGGCTTTCCATGCCTGAAATACTCTCATGAGCTTTTCAGCCAGCTCCGAATGCCTTTAGGGCTGATTCTGAGGCCAGAGTGCTATTTAGGACATCTGCCATTCTATGAGTCTGCTGAGTATCTCACTTCCCATGTTGGATCACTCTCCCCTTTATTTACTCCATTGGTTAGCGTTAGCAGGTACTAGACTTGTCTATGTGCTCCCTTTGACTCCCAGTCCCTCCACCATGACCAACTGTGAACTGAAACTGATCACCTGGAACAGTGAGATGGCATTGGTACATGCCACCTCGATGGGATTGAATTGGAATCCCCTGGTATGCTTCCAACTCCACCACTTGGGGCAAGTCAGCCTGAGCATGTCCCAAATTATACATCTCTTCCCTCTCCCATTCCCACTCCCATGATCAACAGGGATCACATTTCAGTTAATTTTCAACACTTAAGAATAACTGTGTGATAATTACAGAATTAAACCAGTCATATTAAGTAGAACAGACAAAAAAACTACTAAGAGGGATAATGTATTAAGTTGTTCATCAACAGTCAGGGCTATGCTGATCAAGCCACCATTTCCCATAGTGTCCACCTCACTCCAACAGGTTTCCCTCTTGGTGTTCAGTCAGTTGTCACCGATCAGGGAGAACATATGGTATTTGTCCCCTTGGGACTGGCTTATTTCACTCAGCATGATGTGTTCCAGATTCCTCCATTTTGTTGCAAATGACTGGATTTCGTTGTTTCTTACTGCGGTATAGTATTCTAAAGAGTACATATCCCATAATTTCTTTATCCAGTCTATCGTTGATGGGCATTTAGGTTGGTTCCAGGTCTTTAGCTATTGTGAATTGAGCTGCAATAAACATTAGGGTGCAGACCGCTTTTTTGTTTGCCAATTTAAATTCCTTTGGGTAAATTCCAAGGAGTGGGATGGCTGGGTCGAACGGTAAGGTTTTCTTCAGGTTTCTGAGGAATCTCCAGACTGACTTCCATAGTGGCTTAACCAGTTTGCATTCCCACCAACAGTGGGTTAGTGTCCCTTTTTCCCCACATCCTCGCCAGCATCTGTTGTTGGTAGATTTCTGCATGTGAGCCATTCTAACCGGGGTGAGGTGAAACCTCATTGTGGTTTTGATTTGCATTTCCCTGATTGCTAATGACCTTGAACATTTTTTCATGTGCCTGTTGGCCATTTGGATTTCCTCTTTTGAAAAATGTCTATTGAGGTCCTTGGTCCATCTCTTAAGTGGGTTGTTGGTTTTGTTTTTGTGGAGTTTCTTGATCTCTTTGTAGATTCTGGTGATCAACCCTTTATCTGTTGCATAGTTTGCGAATATTTTTTCCCATTCTGTCGGTTGTCTCTTCACTCTCCTGACTGTTTCTTTTGCAGTACAGAAACTTCTCAATTTGATGCAATCCCAATAGTTGATTTTGGCTTTGACTGCCTGTGCCTCCCGGGTCTTTTCCAGAAATTCTTTGCCTGTGCCAATATCTTGAAGGGTTTCTCCAATGTTCTCTAGTAACTTGATGGTGTCAGGTCGTAGATTTAGGTCTTTAATCCATGTTGAGTGGATTTTTGTGTAAGGTGTAAGGTAGGGGTCTTGCTTCATGCTTCTGCACGTGGAAATCCAATTTTCCCAGCACCATTTATTGAATAGACTGTCCTTGCTCCAGGAATTAGTTTTAGATCCTTGATCAAATATAAGTTGGCTGTAGATGTTTGGGTTGATTTCTGGTGTTTCAATTCTGTTCCATTGGTCTATCCATCTGTTTCTGTACCAGTACCATGCTGTTTTGATTACAACTGCCCTGAAGTATGTCCTGAAATCTGGTATTTTTTTTTAAACTTTTATTTAATGAATATAAATTTCCAAAGTACGACTTATGGATTACAATGGCTTCCCCCCCATACCGTCCTTCCCACCCACAACCCTCCCCTTTCCCACTCCCTTTCCCCTTCCATTCACATCAAGATTCATTTTTGATTATCTTAATATACAGAAGATCAGCTTAGTATACATCAAGTATGGATTTCAACAGTTTGCTCCCACACAGAAACATAAAGTGAAAAATAATAGATGATTTTTTTTAAATGATGATGAAATCAGAGCAGACCTATTGTCATGTTTAATCCCAGTGAGAGTCAAGTTGGGAATTGATAATTTCTTTTTTTTTTTTTACAGAGGATCAGTTTAGAATGCATTAAGTAAGGATTTCAACAGTTTGCACCCCCATAGAAACACAAAGTGAAATATATTGTTTGAGTACTCGTTATAGCATTAAATCTCAATGTACAGCACATTAAGGATTACTATTTTTCCAACAAAATAAAAAAGGCTTTTTGCCCCATTTAATGTTTTCTCCCTTATAATACTGACTCTTTGATTTCTCAATTTTCCAAAATAAATCCACCCATTTTTGTAAGCAATGTATGAACATTTAAGAAAATTTAAATGATGTGACAGTATCACTTCCTCTATGAAACCTTACCTGTCTCTTCCTATGCTTCAATACTTTGAAATATATAATTCCATTATCATGCACCTACTGTAACTTTTCTTTACAAATGTTTTCCTTTTGTACTTTGAATCTTACTAAAGTCAAAAACAATGTCTAATTCAGCTCTGTGGTTACAAAGGGTAGTTAAAAAAATAACAGTGCTCAAATAATAATGAGTGAATTAATTATACAAATTGAAGAAAATATCTAACATAAAATTTTTAATGTGATCTCTGGTGGCTACTATAAAATAGTAAGCAAGTGTAGTCGTTTTTATACTATCCAATTTTTAACTGAGTTTGTCATAATACCCACTACTATGGTGATTTTTATTTCATTTACTCCACTAGTTCTTTCACTAAACCGCTCTATTTCAGATATGTTCATGATCTAGGAGCCTGTGTTGAAGATTTCAACAAATCCAAATGAGAACAATGGTTTTGTCTTACCGTTTGCCCCGTGGATAATGCCGCACATATTCTCCAACATCGTGAGCAGCCACAGCTAAGACTTGGGGGTCATCTGACACCTCTAGAAGTTTTGTCAAGATTCTGAAATAAATTTAATTCAAAGAGAGATCAAGTTCTAATTTTTCTATGAAGCACAACACAGTGTAGCTATAACACAGGTATCATCCTAAAAATAGATATCTATAAATATATTTTGCCAAGGATTTCACTATTACATATAAGTTAGCAGTTTTAAAACCTTTATACATACATAACTGATTACTTTCAGATTCACAACGTTTATGATGCGCAGTTCCCTAAACATCAAGGACGCCTACTCTCTCTCAAGAGAGACAACTAGAATATCAGTTAAAGTTATTTCAGTAAGATTACAAGTGGATCTTTGCTAATTATATTTTCTTGATGAATCACTTGTAAACCACAGGCCCTACTATTAGTAGTGGAGAAAATTCCTTTCAGCATCCTATGATCAAGATGGTAGGTTGAGCCCTGAGCACACATAACACAAACGTCACAAACAGAATTAAAACCCCAACAGCAAATGTTTCTTAGAAGACAGCAACCCACAACTACTATCCTGACTTCCATGTCCCCCTCACACTCTCTACAAGGCAACCATACCAACTAATATTTCTATTGGAACCCAAAAGGGACTTCTAAGAACAGGAGCGAAGGACTAACATCAGAGAAGGCTTCCTCTGCCATAGTTCTGGTCTCCCTCCTCAAGGACCACCATATACCCAGGGGTGTACAGATCCTAGGGAGTGAAGGGGTGGACACTGATGCTGCTCAGAACCCAAGGAACTGGGAAAGGACTGCCCCTCATGCTTGCAAATGGAGACCATTCAATACATAGATAATTCCCGATGTTCTCAATTCATCCTTCAAGCAGAGCATAAATGGCGTAACAAATTGCTAGGGAAAATGAAGAAATGCACATTGAGCTAAGTTTTATTTCTGAGTTCTCTCTCATAGAAACTCTTCACACAATTATATTTTTAACACATCAAACTATGGATGCTCTTTCCAAAAGGTTAGCTTGCAAATTATTTAAAAATTAAATTTAATTCAACTGAAACAGCTTAATAATTTCAAAGAATTAAGTGTCTTTGATATTTTTATTGAAATTTAGTATTAAGAAATTATTTTATGAAATCATAATCAAATTAACCTAACATAAAATTCCTCAAATGCATAACATATCATTTGCTCTGAATACCTCAAACCATAGGTCAGAAAAATCACATCTCAAGTACAAACATGGCTGCTTTCTCTTCTTTTAAATAAAATTTTAATGGAACACAGCTACACTCACAGCTCACAAACCCTAAAATATTTTCTATCTGGGCCTTAACAGAAAGTATTTGCCAATTACTGCCTTAAACCAGTGACTTAAGTGTCTCCATAGGGCTGACACTCCTGTCATTCAAGATATGGCATATACACCAGCAGCTGTATCATCTGGATACTTACTAGAAATACCAACTAACAGGCCCTACTCTAGACCTACTGGTGAATCTGCATTCTAGCAGGATCCATCAACATTTGTAAAGCATTGTCTTTGCCTTAAAGATTCTTAGAATTGGAAGTAATCAGATTTCTCATCCTATCTATGAAACACAGAAATGATTTTTATGGTTATCCTGTAGGGCCATTTGGTCCACTGAATATCTTCAGCAACAGTGAAAGTATTATTATCTGTAAATATGCTGAGCATGCTACTTCTATACTCAAATCATCTATAAAAAATGTTCAAAGAACAGGTTCAAAGAAAAGGATTCTTGTGGTAAGAAAAAAGAGAGCTCCCTCCAAGTTGTCTCTTACTACTATTGTTAAGTCAACAATGGATTCATCAATTCTAATCCAAATTCCTATCACCACATCAACCACAAGCCCTAATTTTGTCACATTCTCCCATGGTGTCCAAATAGCAACATACTGCAGCTTCGTATTTGAACTAAATGTGAATTCCTACTCTGACATTTGCTGGAAACGTACTCTTTAAAAAGGTCTATTCAAATCTAAACAAAATTTACATTATTATTCTACTTAATCACTCAATAAATTTGCTGTTGTCCTCTTTCACAACATTTTCCCCAGGTTCATAAATCTGTTTGTGCTCTCTCATCCTTTGCTTTTTCCTCTATCATCTCCATGTTTTCTTCTATTTCAGAATATCTCCCTTTTCAAAAAATATATACTTAGTTCAAAATTATGAGTTACAAACTACAAGGTGGTAAGAATTCTCAGATGTCCTAAAATAAGTTACAAGGTAGAAGACAGAAGAAAGAGTTCAGAGAGGATTATATTAAACTGACAGCTCTGGGCTAAACCAATAAAGACAAGACAAAAAGAAATTATTTCACATTCCTTTCCTCCATGAGAAAATAAGACAAAAAGGCAACACAACTAACCAGCCAACAAGCAGCAGACAAGCAGACAAACAGAATTAACCAGTCAACAAGCAGCAACCACTTTTCTTCATGGACTATCCTCTATTGCAGGACTTAGTCCATTGGCTATTGTTCTACCCCTCTTATTTATAGACAGTGTAGGTTCAATATAAGTGACTTACATTTTTTTCTCCTTCAGTTTTACCTATAAAATGCCCTGCCTTTTTAGAGTCCATGGACATTTTTCAAATGCTATCTGCCATGCTGCTAGTGGCCAAGGGAAACTGTCCAAGGACGACTCCTTTATTTTGATGAGCACCTGTAACATTGCAATACAGCCTCTTAACTTCAGAGATTTCTTGGTATTTAAATTTTTGTTTTAAGAAAATTATTTTCTATATATTATTATGCTCAAAGTGATAGAAGGAAAAATAAACTTAGATACTTGCTAAGTTTGGAATGGACAGAAAATAGGTCATAATCTAATGTAAGTGTGGTTTTCCACAGATTGGGGGTGGGGGGGACCCAGAAGTACTTGGTTTTTTTAAATAGTAAAATTAAATAAAGAATTCATTAGCATCAATTTTATCAACTAATTTGAAGGCAGCCCTGCCATGCTTTTCCTGTCAGTCATCTAACCATCCCATCAATCATTTCATGATTTCACGCAGATAATTTATTGGAATAAAAATTAAAGATAAACATTGATTTCAAATTTCTCATCATCACATAAAAATAAAACAAAATACCACATATCAGTGTTTTCAGCTACACAGAAAAACAACAAAGGTAAAAGAAGTAATCTGAAGGAACAATAAAAATTAAAAGCTAATGCAAGAAAACAGAACACAGACTCTGAAAGGCTCTTATTATGTGTATCATAATGAAGATACACATAATGCTTTAGTAATCATTTGCTAAAAGCTTCCCTCCATTATATTAAGCTTTTCCAAAGATTACATTTAAAAAACAATATCCAAGCTCTTTTTTTGCTGTTAAAAACAAAAATGGTGGGGCTGGTGCTGCAGCACAGCAGGTTAAAGCCCCAGCCTGAAGCTCTGGCATCCCATATGGGTGCCAGCTCAAGTCCCGGCTGCTCCACTGGAAGCCCCAGCTCTCTGCTATGGCCTGGGAAAGCAGTGGAGGATGGCACAAATCCTTGGGCCCCCGCACGCACGTTGGAGACTTAGAAGGAGCTCCTGGGTTTGGATCGGCACAGCTCTAGCCGTTATAGCCAATTGGGGAGTGAACCAGCAGATGGAAGACCTCTCTCTCTCTCTCTCTCTCTCTCTCTCTCTCTCTCTCTCCTTGCCTCTCCTTCAGTATGTAACTGTGACTTTCAAATAAATAAATAAATAAATCTTTAAAAAAAAATTCCAGTTCACAATAGCATCAAAAGGAAAAAAATTTAGAAGTAACTTTAAATAACCTAAATAAGTGGAGAAACATATTGCTCATAAATATGAATAGTGAATGCTATTAAAATGCCAATATTTCCCAAATTGAAAGTTTCAAAAAATCCTCAATAGATTCCCAACCAGTTTTTTGGAGAAATTAACAAGGTGATTCTAAAATTCACCTGAACTAGCAATGGGACCCACAATAGTCAAAACCATCATAAAAAGAACTGACTTCCAGTTCAACATGTAAACAGCATAGAACTCATCATTCCATCCCCACAAGCAAAACCCTAGTCAAACTAAAAATCAATAATTCATTATAGATCCAGGAATCAGAAAATTGCGGTCCCAGAGAAAACTTCCACCACAAGTTAGAGGGGTGAAGACAGAGAATCAAAGCTTACTGGGAGCAAATACTGCTATTGGATCCATCAGTTGTCAGGAATACTTAAAGGGTAATTGATTCACTCCTAAAGATTAAGCAAGGACTATTTTGAAAAAAAAAAAAAAAAATTCGGGGCCAGCGCTGTGATACAGTAGGTTAATCCTCCGCCTATGGCACTGGCATCCCATATGGGCGCTGGTTCTAGTCCCGGCTGCTCCTTTTCCAATCCAGCTCTCTGCTATGGCCTGGGAAAGCAGTATAAGATGGCTCAAGTCCTTGGGCCCCTGCACCCATGTACGAGTCTGGGAAGAGGCACCTGGCTCCTGGCTTCGGATGGCGCAGCTCTGGACATTGCGGCCATTTGGGGAGTGAACCATCGGACAGAAGACCTTTCTCTCTGTCTCCTCCTCTCACTGTCTGTAACTCTACCTCTCAATAAAAAGGGCCAGTGCCATGGCTCACTTGGCTAACCCTCGACCTGCAGCGCTGGTACGCGGGGTTCTAGTCCTGGTTGGGTTGCTCCTCTTCCAGTCCAGCTCTCTGCTGTGGCCCGGGAAGGCAGTAGAGGATGGTCCAAGTGCTTGGGTCCTGCACCCGCATGGGAGACCGTGAGAAGCACCCGGCTCCTGGCTTCAGATCGGCGGCGCAGCGCCGGCCGTAGCGGCTATTAGGGGAGTGAACCAACGGAAGGAAGACCTTTTTCTCTCTCTCTCTCACTGTCTATAAAGAATAAGAAGAAAGAAAAATTCCTAGAGACCCAACAAATAATCTGAATTGGTCTGCATCTACAAAAAATATTAAATCAAAAATGTATAACCTCCAAAAGAGAAAGCAAGAGGCCCAGACAGTCTCACTGGTGAATTCCATCAAACACTGAAAAAGCAAGTGGCACCAATTCTCTAT